TGAAATAACGGTCGGATTTTTAATATCTTTGCAACTTTTATTAGTCCAAATCTTATTACATAGGATACGAGTAACGTGCCTGCTGTAAAACTTGTAGTAAAAAAGCGTTACAAATTGTAACCGAACTCTGCTTGTGGCAGTGGTAGGTAGATTGAGCCCATGAGCGAGAGCGCCATCTGTTGTGGAGTCTGCTGAAGTGCATGGCTATCTAGCTTTAATAGTGCCACTCGGCAGAAAACGGTAGAAATACTAATTTTCAGCTCTTGAAATTCAATTCTCAAGTATAGAATAATATGGAGGATTTAATAGTGGTCTGCTTTCAGACTGGACCAAACTAGACTAGACTATGCGCTGTTGCTGTGCCGCATGCGTACGCTCAAGTTAATTTTAACAAACGGTCACGGAAGTTTACATTTTTGGGACTACATTTCCTACATTCCGTCGCAATGCTCGTTTATTCCAAACGTGGCGATTTCGGTTTCTTTTTTACGTGTTAATCAAGAACTGGTAGTGTATTTTAAGAATATTTATGGCAGCTTTTTGTCGGGAAATGCAGTTTTAATATAATCTCTGTGTTGAATTCAGTTAAATGATTATCACTGCTAGGTCTCGGGCGCCAATAAATACTAAATCATAATGATAAATCTGCGTACTGTATGTACGATTGAAAGCGATTAAGTTTAAAATAAACCGTATTTAGGATGTGTCAAAATCGTTTTTAATATTCTATGCAAGGTAGTAGTAATAAATTTGTTTTCCCCTGTCTCTAAGTAGTGCATGGATTAAACAAAGCAACGCGTCTGAGAAAAAACTGGTCATTGATCATTCCTCGACAGGTTTCAATTTTTTTCTCCAATTGGGATAGCCGCCCCGGCGGGGGCGGATCTCGTTGTTCGTGAACCTCCCTGTGGCAGCCTGAGACCGTTGTTCACCTCCCTGTGGCAGCCTGAGACCGTTGTTCACCTCCCTGTGGCAGCCTGAGACCGTTGTTCACCTCCCTGTGGCAGCCTGAGACCGTTGTTCACCTCCCTGTGGCAGCCTGAGACCGTTGTTCACCTCCCTGTGGCAGCCTGAGACCGTTATGAATTACTGTTCTTTAAGACGCACTCGAAGCATACTGGACGCGGGATCGATTGCAAAAATAAGCAGGTTTTATAAATAGTGCACGTGAAGATCAAGCGGTCTGATGCGATATAATAGTAATAGTAGATATGTAATAGTGGTGTATTACACGTATCAAAGACTATCCACCAGGCGTGTTAGTACCTTGCATATGCCCACACGCCCCTGCGTTGCACATAGCATGCCCACTTTTTTTAATTAGAACCCTCCACTCGTTGATTTAAAAGATTCTGTGAGAGCACATTTTGTTTTCGCATTACGAGTAAAGTGGTCATCATATTCAAATTACGTATATGCGAATTTTCTTAACCCGAATCGCCGTCCCGCGCGGTACAATGATAACACAATATGCTTCTTGTATTATCCAATTGTTGTAGAAATATTCGAACTCTGGTACAATATTGAGTGTACATCGCTGCTTACTATATTAATGCGCAAGAAACTGCATTTTGAATTGTTTTGACGTGAAAAACACCCACGAGTAACACATCTAAGGCTGCTAGACTGCAATAAAAACTATACACACTGACTGCTTTAAAGAATGAAACATCCTATGTTAGAAACATAAAAACGTGCGGTTCATGATAGAAACGCTTTACATGATAAAATTTGTCATGCATAAATAGCAAGACATGATGTTGCACGAAGTTATTGAACTTGGCATCTTTTTCGCTGTTTTGTAACCTGTCCCGCACACAAACATACACATAAACACACGTATATAAACACGTACACACGCACGAGCAAACAAACGAACGCATGCACGCGTACAGGCACACACACACACACACACGCGCGCGCGCGCACACGCGCGCACACACATACACACACATGCATACACACATGCATACACACATGCATACAGAGAGAGAAAGACTGATCGTGGTAAATCACCAGCTCCTCCCCGCCAGTGTCAGCGTGCGATCAAACGTCGCGAGGGCTTGCTAAGTTTAGCATCAACGATACAAGTGCCGTTGCTGCACGCGCCACGTAACAGTTCCACCGTGCATGCTGGCGACTGTAGATGCTGGTCCGCATGCATCACTGCAGCAGCGGCAGCAGCAGCAGCAGTAGCCACTCCTCTGCGCTGGCTTCGTAGTAGACTCTGGAGTAACTTGAAACGTTGGCAATGCCAAGCACCGTCCGAAGCAGTGAGTCGTGAGCAAGGCGTCGGGCGATATGCAGGGCGTACGCAAAACTTGACGCTACCATGATGGCTAACGGAAAGGCAGCTGTGATTTTTCTTCTCAGCATTCTAATTTCATGCGGTATGTTATACTGAATATATCCTATATGATTTCACGTAGTTAAGTCGCTAATTCTGCTTAGCTTCTCGAGATAAATATTCACAATTAAGTCGCTACACTGATTTCGCGTA